TCAAAACCTACAGAATCTTAAAATTTGGTACGAAGCAACGTATTATAGCACAGATAAAGGAAAAATTGCGAAAAGCATAAATTTTTAGTTACATCATATGATAAAAATATTTTTAATAATTTTAAACTTACGGATTTGTTCGGAACCCTCGGTGCGCGAGTCCGAATCGCACTTGGCTGGTTTTTTTTTTCAGTATGATTATCATTTATATTTATGTTCATCATAACAACTTATATCACTAAGTACTTTGTTGCAACGCGGTATTAATGATCGGTCACGCTTGCACGTGACAGTGAGAGATAACAACGTACCATTTGAGTGAGTGAGAGAGCTGTGACTAGGGTTGCCAACGCTTCTTTATTATAGAATAAGACTGACAAATGAGGCGCACAGTCCACCAAATGGTAAGTCGATCCTGTGGCTCATAGACATCTACATATATCCTCCATTAAGAATTAAAATGCAGATGCGTTGTCACTAGGACTAAAATGGACTGCCTCGTTTCCAGTAAAAAGAGTCTCCGTTTCTCTACTCTAACTACACGAGACATTACTACCGAATTTGGCAGCTCCGTGGCGCAGTGGCTTAGCAATGAGTTGCTGCGCTGGGGCCGCGGGTTCGAATCCCAAATACAAATAATTGTTCCGGGTCTGGATGTTTGTCCTTGTGCAATTTGTGTTTGTAAACTGCCTCCACGATATAGGAGAAAATCCTAGTGTGGGGGTAACGTTTTAAAAAAAATGAAGTTGCTATTTCACGCTGGTATCTTGTAAGAGTGTAGTCGTCCCCTGATCGATCCGACGCATTCGTGTTACAACCAATGTAAAGCTGCTGCAGAATGCCATACCGCCAACTTCGTGACTCCGGGCTGCTACTGAAAATTTCTTCATGGATAAGCTTACCAACCGATGTCGGCCCGAACCAGGATGTGAACCCGGGACCTCATGATCAGCAGCAGTTTAATAAATACCACGGTGTGAAGCTCTTAATGTCTCAAACTTAAAATATCATGTTTCTGGCCATAGCATCGCAAACACTATTCTTAATAGAAAAAGCTGGCAACCCTAGCAGCGACAGCATTTTACCATGATTGATGTTCTACAGGGATTATACTCAAGCGAGTAAATCGATACGCTCCGACATACTCTATGATAAAACGCACCTTTGCACTGTTTCTGCGTTATTTCAAACGATTATTTAAAACATTATTGGACCGTAGTGTTCAGGGGCTATGCGCTCGTCGTAAATCTATACATACTGGTATAAATAAAAATGAAGCATCTGTCTGTAATATTGTAAAATCCGACTCCTATTAAGCTCAGAAGGTTATTTGCATGCTATTAACACATAATCTAAACATATAAATAAAATTGATTTCCGGCTCGCTGCCCTTATACATGTTGGCGGATTTCACATGTCTGCAGTTTGTTTTTAATTTCTCTGATATGTAAATTTCCTGACGATATTTTTCCTATGATAAATCAGCACTAAAAATTGTATGTAACAGTTCCATTAGTGCCCGTGGGTTCAAATCCAGGTTCACGTATTGTGGAATTCACGCGAAGCCCCTGAGCTACCACGGCTAATAATAATGGCGGTATCTATTACATTTGAAAATGCCAAACACAAGTCTCACATAGACACAGTAATTATTACATAGCACATTGACCATACAGTACAATCAGCATACTAAGTAGTAACCGCCTAGTCAGTATGATAAGTAAAGTCAACACATTCCAAAAAGGCCACCTCATAGCGGATATTTGAAATGACCTATGTATGGTGGTGGACTTTTAAAGGTTGAGTACTACAACACTAGGACTTTCACCTGTATATGTAGAGACAGTTTACATACATAAATTTCACAAGGTCATACGTCCAAACTATGTGTATGCCATACCAATACTTCTTCCGTGCGGGCTTTCAGCGCCGCAACTCATTGCTAAGTCACTGCGCCACGGAGCCGTCAAAAGTAATTTTTATACAAGGACCCGTGACAAACGTGAACACAGTCCAGTGATTGTAAATACATAGTGGCTATAGACACCTTCCACGTATCCTCGATTTGTTGCCTCTTTGGTTTAGTGGTCGTAAACGCGGTTGGTGATCATGAGGTCTCGGGTTCGAATCCCGGGTCAAAGTAATTCTTAACAGCAGTCTCCTGCGCCTGATCTATCTCCGTTCGTGTCTGATTAACGTCCCATCGGACTGCGAGAGTGAGGGAATAGAGAGTGTGTACCTGTGTTTGCCCTGTGTGTGTGTGTGTGTGTGTGTGTGTGACCTGTGTTTGCGTATATACTCGGATACTTTAATCCTGTCCTGCGCAGATGGTTAGTCTCCGTTCAGAGTTCCGTGCTGCCGTGATCGATAATTCAGTCTGGGGGACATTATTCTCTATTAAGAATCAAAATTGAGACGCCTTGTCATCATAGAAGACCCAAGAAATGCCTCGTTATCGGTATACAGAATAGTTGTTATTTTCATCGCGACAAAATACATCTCATGATAATGAGAGCTAATAATTTTATGCTCACAAGATGTCGCTAGTTGACAGTGAGGTAAAGTTTTTTTGTTACACAATGTAATTTAATTAAGAAGTTGGTTTTTAATAAAAGTTTACCAATTTCAAGAGTATTATATTAATACACAAAACAATACCTCAGTGATTTATTCTTTAATTTTGTGCACATTTTTAACTTCTTTTTAAATTTTTCTACATTTATGAATATCTACCGTTTAATTTATTTATTTTTAATCGTATTAATATAAAATATAGCTAATAATACAGAAAGAAACAGTAACATGTTACATTTTTCAAACAAATTAACTTCCCCACTATGAAATCTGTCAAATATTATCTATATATCTCACTTTTAAGTGGCGCCGCCCTGGTGGCAGAAAAAGTCGTGGATGCCGTGTGTCGTGGAACAGTGATATTTGAGCCGAAGTATTTTGAGGTCTCCTTCAAATATTACTTAAAACAAATTGCACAGCCTCATTGGAAGAACACATCATCCCTGTTATTAGAAACATATTATCTTAACGAGCCGATAGTTTTCGAAGAACAACCGAAAATAATTTTAAATTACCGCTGCGGTTGTGGTCGTGTCAGAAGTGACGCGTCGAGTTATATTTCCACCGTGGTAAATGTGTTCTCACGAATATTACTGTATTTAGTGTTTGGAAAATTGTAAATGGATGGTTTCTCTGGCATTGGAATCGTTGTTCCTATTTCTTGGATCAGGTTCTGATGCTCCTTGATTCCTTACCTCAGGCACTTTGAAACAAATGTCTATACACAAACGTATGATTCTACTCTACATTTAGCAGGATCCTTTGATTATAATGATATGGTTCGTGTACATGGCTATTACCTCCTACGAAAGTTTCAAATAATTCATTCTTAAAGCGTTCTTTACTTATTTTATATTCGGAGAAGGAGAAGGTAAGTAAGGTGACGGCTTGCGAAGTGGCTAAATGTTGGCTGCGATGCCATATAGAGTCGCGGGTTCAAATCTAAGTTATTCCAATTTACGTATGTTAAACGCCTCCACGATTCATGTAAAAAACTAAAGTTAGGGATTACGTTGTATTTTTAATTTATGGTGAATGTTTATGAAGGTGAGCAGTTCGAAAATTGTCTTTTTATAGAGTAGATTAGAATAGAATCATTTTTATTTAACATAGATTATAACAACACTTATTAATAGTCATTTAAGCTTTATCACGTGTTCGGATAAAACTTATGTCCTGGGAAGAACCAGGAAGAAACCCAGCGGAACTTTCTAAAAAAATAATTTACAATATACATAAGAATTTATAGAATAATATAGAAATCAGGATGGCGAACGAGGACAGAGTCCACCTGATACAAAATGGATGCTGTGGCCCATATAAACGAACTGCTGTCATCGATTCAGAATTAAAATGTATGTAGGTGCGTTTTTACCACTAAGACAAGATGTCTCGTTACCAGTAAAAGGGTCTTCGGTTTTCGTCACTCACCATACGAAACACAAAAGCTCTAAGCTGCTATTTCACGCTGGTATTCTGTACGAGCGTGGTGCTAACCCGGTCGATGCGGCTCTTAATCAACTGCATCTGTAATACGCAATAGCATGACACTTTCATTAATTCAGCCCTGTCCCCGGTTCATATTATTGGATCTGGTTCTGATGTTCCCACATTCTTTACTTCAGTCACTTTGAAACAAATGACTATACGCAAATATATTTATCTACCCTACACTTAGCAAGATTCTTTGATGATATGGGTCGATGGTATAGTTACTATCTCCTACAAAAGTTTCGAACAATGTAAAAGCATTCTTTACTTTTTTTTATTGGGAGAAGGAGACGTTAATTAAGTAAGGCTTGCGTGGTCCTTCCCCGGTTGATGCGACCCTTAACTTACTGCAACTATAATATGCAATAGCATGGCACTTTCATTAATTCATCCCAGTGGCCAGTCTGAGTATTAATTTGATCTTGGATTACGTGCTTAGAAGGCGATATAATTTTTTTAACCTCGGTACAGCAGTTGGTCACAATAAATTTCAAGACTAAGTTTTTAGTTTTTAAATTCTACCGCACACGGCAAGAACTCGTACGTAACTAGGTACAGCTGACACTGCGGAACTGAATTTCTTTGCGTTAGATTGTACATATATGTCGCAGTAAACTAACTTAGTTAGCTTTTCAGTTAACCGCCTAGTCTTTTTACTACACGGCGCCGTTCAACTGGCGGATTGAATAATATTCGTCTAATACAACATTGTAATATTAGCGACAGTAGTTTAACCCTGTAATGCCTAGCATATCCATATGAACACAAAAATATGGGTAAATTTAAATGCTTAAAATGGCTACAATTTACTTAATTGTTCACACTCTACCACTAAATTTCAAAGTTTCATTATATGCCACTGTCACTGTCATAATATAGTGTTGATTCGAGGTTTTAATTATTTAATTGCCGCCAATCTCAGTTACGGTGAAAAAATGGACCCAAGAAGAGAGTAAGTAATATTATTTTCAAAATATTAGTTTTACTTATGTTATTTTTGTGCCAAATTACTGAGATATAATTGAGTTATGTCTACAAAATGGTAAAACATTGCTTAGATTTGATTAAACATAATATTTATAACCCTGAAGTTGCCGTGTCCATAAGGACCCGCTAAGCACTAAGCATTGCATTACAAAAAGTAATGTATTTTTTTCAGATTCTTCGATTTCAACCAATTCTTGGGTAACGGCTCCCTAAATGAAATTCTAGATATTCTGTGCGAAGATGAAGAAGGGTCTGGTAAATGTCCGATGCCAGAATTAATTTTTATAGCCCCTCCTGATCTAGCTATTTTGACGGACGAGGATTCAGATGACGAAGATAGTGGTGGAAGAGCCGAGAACTTGAATGCTCGACAGTTAACAGCTGATGCGGAGGTAAGGTTTGAGAAACGATACCAAACGCACAGACACACTCTTCGTTTTGACGATCTTTGTGGCAGATGGTTGAGAACGTGGATCCATGGAAACTTAGAACCATTTTTGGGATCATTTCCAGAGATTGCAACTGACATTGATAGTCAATCAGCCGTGGATTTGTTTGAGCTTTTTATTGATGACGACATTATTGACATGTTTATCCTGCAATCAAACCGCTATGTCTTATGGAAAAACTGCCCTGATATTAAGATCACAGCTGCTGAAATGCGATGCTTTTTTGGAATTTTCATTTTGAGTGGGTATTCGCCTAATGCTAACAGACGGCTTTATTGGAGCACGGAGATAGATAACCGCAATGAGCTTATTTGCAACTCTATGCGGTGCAACAGATTTGAGGAGATAATGCGATTCATGCATTGTGTTGATAATAATGAATTAGAATTGAATGACAGAATGTGGAAGTTGCACCAAGTCATTTAGTAAATAAAATAAAAGCTAATTATATGAAACATTTTGTGCCTGAAAAAAATCTGTCATTCGATGAAACTATGGTTAAAAATTATGACCAGCATTCCTGTAAGCAATTTATCAGAGTCCAATTTGGCTACAACATATAGAGTCTGTGTACTCCAGATGGTTACTTGATAACTTTTGAAAATTATGCAAATCAAGGAGTTCTTCTGTAAAAACAGAATGTATGAAGTGTGACATTGGCCTATGTATACCATGTTTTGCAATTTATCACCAGAATTAATAAAGACCTACCGTTGTAATGTTTTTCTGCCGACTTCCAAAAAGGAGACGGTACTCAATTCGACTGTATGTTTTTTGTGTGTTACCTCATAACTTCTTACTGGGTGAACCGATTTCGATGATTATTTTTTTCTTTGATTATACTTTTCGTGTGGTACCATATGAATTTGATTAAGGTCAGACCAATAGTTATTGAGTTATTCTTAATAACTTACATTGAAGTCGGCTGTACAAAATTTTTAATTTTAAATTACGTTTCTTTTAATCTAACTACTTCAAGATAAATTTTTCAACTCCTTAGCTATTGTAAACGCTTAGTGTGTCCATTTGAACACGTGAATTTTCACAAACTTCTAATATATTTGGAAAAATAAAATTTATGCTAAGTTGATAAGAAACCATCATTCAACAATATTAAATATCCAAAATTAAAAAAAAAATAAAAAAATAAAAAAATTCGGCATTACTGGGTGGTCCAGTTGGGGTGAACCTAAAGCGAGGTACATTTATATAACATAGCCCATAACGCATAATTAGGACTAGATACAGACCAGCGACATTACATAACATGGGCACCATATTAATTTCGTTCAACGAGACGGAAAAATTACGACCATCCACGGGCCCAATGCACTAGGCTTAGCAATAAGTTGCGCCGTTGAGGGGCGCGGGTTCGAATTGGACACGGAACAAATATTTATTTCGCCTGCAAGTAATTGTTCCGGGTGTGGTTGTTTGTCCTTGTGAAATTTATAAATGTATATTGCCTTTTGGATACAGGAGAAAATCCTAGTGTGGTGTAACGTTTTGTTTTTAATTGTCATTAAGACTGCTAGTTGAACGGCGCCGATTAGTACAAAAGCTAGTCTGTTATCTGAAAGGCTAATTTAGATAAATGACTGCGACGTGTACACCGTCAATAACACGCCGTGTCACTTCGACGAACTCCAGAATTTAGTGAACGGTGCAAAAGTACAGAACTGTTGCAGTTCTGTACTGGCCTTACGTTTCTTATAATTTCATTTTAACTTTATTTTCCTAAGTAGTACTAACATGTTATCATGTCTATGTATGTACCTACATTGCAATAATTGAATTGCTGTTTTTTCCCGACTGAAGGGAGCCAATGTAATTATTTTAATTTATTATCAGCGTGTTATTAAGGCATAAATAATCTAAAAATATAAATAAAATTTAAGTATCTGCTTGTTACATTAAAATAACTTACTTATATTAAGCCTGGGGCGTTATTTGCATGCTATTAATACATAAATAACCTGTCTGTCGGTATGTCTGCACTAATCTTCGGAATGGCTGAACCGATTATGATGAAACTTTACGAACAGATGGAGAGCAATGCCAGAAGCGATCTAGGCTATAGTTTATCCGAAAACCTTAAAGATTAAAAAAAGGAATTATTGATAACCCGGGTTCAATCTCCATCGATTACAATAAAATTGTTGATAGCAGTTTAAATTCTCAAAATTCTGTTAGTCAAGCAGCATAGAATAGAATAGAATAGAATAATTTTTATTCAATATACATTACATGTGTAATTCTTATTGAAAGTAATTTTTTACTTTACCACTGGTTCGAAAAAAAAACCCTCTGTCCTGGGAAGAACCAGCAAGAAACCCAGCGGGACTTTTTTTTAAAAATAAATTTTACAATATAAATGATTACGAACTATTTACAAAATTTATTTTAGAAACTGCTTGGAAGCGACCACCTCGTTCCCAGGGGTTATTATCAACCATGTATTCATTTATACTATAATAACCCTTTTTATACAGTTTCAGCTTAACAAAGCATTTAAACTTGGTAATAGAGAGAACCTGTACACTTTCCGGGACGTTGTTGTAATAGCGTATACATTGCCCCAAGAATGAATTACTGACTCTGTGGAGTCGAGAAACTGGCATCACTAGCTTGTGTTTGTTCCTAGTGTTTACAGAATGTATATCACTTTTTTTACTAAAACTACCTTTGTTTTTGTGAACATACATTAAATTTTCGTAAATATACTGAGAGGCCAAATTTAATATATTTATTTCTTTAAATTTATCTCTAAGAGACTCTCTCGGTTTTAGGTTGTAAATAGCTCTAATGGCCCTCTTCTGTAAAACAAAAATAGTTTCTGAATCATCCGCATTTCCCCATAGCAAAATCCCAAAAGACATTATGCTGTGGAAATAACTGAAATAAACTAATCTAGCTGTCTCGAAACTAGTGAGACCTCTAATCTTATTTACAGCATAGGCTGCAGAACTTAGTCCGCTTGCTAATTTGGATATATGGGGGCCCCACTGAAGCTTTGCGTCGAGAGTGATGCCAAGAAAAACAGTGGATACAACAGGGCTCAATTCCTCCCCATATAAATACACATTGGTATTCAGATTTTTAACATTCGTTGTTGTAAATTTAACACAATTAGTTTTATCTCCGTTCAAATGCAGATTATTAACGTTAAACAAATGCACTAATTTTGATATAGCATTATTCACTTCGTCACATTTAAATGATTGACGTTTAAGTTTAAAAATCAATGAAGTATCATCAGCACATAAAACTATATCATGCTATCCCCTACAAGGTGAGGTAAGTCATTAATATACACCAGCAATAGAAATGGGCCGAGAATCGAGCCCTGAGGGACACCCATTAGTACACGTGACCCGGAAGAACTATTTCTATTGGTAATAACTTTCTGCATTCTATTACTTAAATAATATGTTTAAGCGCTGTGTTCTTGACACCATAGTACTGTAGCTTCCTGATTAATGTCTCATGGTTAACGAAGTCGAAGGCCTTGGAAAGGTCACAAAATATACCCAAAGCATCCTCTGAATTCTCCTATGCACAAAAATATGTTTAAAAAGCTCAACTCTAGCGTCAGTTGTCGAGCGATCCCTTGTAAAACCGAATATATTTCTATGTAACAATTTATTAATATTAAAGAAACTTCTCTGATCTTCATCTGATCTAAAATAATTTTTTCAAAAATTTTACTAAATGTTGGTAGTACAGAAATTGGTCTAAAATTGGCGGGGTCCAATGTACTACCAGATTTAAATATAGGTATGACTTTACTATGTTTCATTAAATCAGGAAACACACCAGATTCGACGCTTATATTAAATAAAGTGGCTAGATAAGGTGCTAATGTATCTATTATAGATAAAATAACTTTAATGGAAATCCCCCATAAGTCTGCCGTTTTCTTAACATCAATAGTTTTAAAATATTTAACGATATCTTTTGGCAGTACTCTATGGAATTTTAAAGTATTTGAACAAGCCTTTACATTTTGTTTGAGCAATGATTCGGCGACAGTAGGAGAAGAATTTAATGATTTTGTTGTCAAAAAAGGAACATCAGTAAAATGTTTCTCAAAAGCCATAGCAACTTCTTGATCAGATCGCGTTAAATTATTGTTAATATTCAATTGAAATTCCGAGTTGCGCGGTTTGACCTTGCCCGTTTCACTATTTATTATTCTCCAGGTCATTTTAATTTTGTCGGATGCAGTTTTAATTTTGTTGCTTAAATGTAAAGCCTAAGCAGTGGAGCACACTTTTTTAAATATTTTAGAATATGTTTTTACATAATCTCTAAATATAACACTACTATTATATGATCTTTCATCATAAAGCTCGTATAATCTTCGCCTACTTTTATAAATTCCTACTGTCGCCCATTCATTAAATGTTTTGCGACTGTTAAAAGAGAAAGTTTTAGAAGTAAATATTCTACTAAATTCACAACTTATAATTTTAAATAATGTAGCATACAAATAATTAGCACTATTTGTAAACGAAAGTGATGGAAGTCTTTTTATTATATTACTTCTAAACTTCTCCAAGCGATGTTCATTTATTGGAACAAACACAACTTTCTTATTTTTCTGTTTTTTGTGTATATAAGGTAGTGATACCAACTATCCACAGTGATCTGAACTTAAATTTTGAATAATTGATTTATGCAAGGGCTTAACATCTGTAAAAATGTTATCTGTACAGGTCGCACTAGGCCCAGCTATACGAGTTGGTTCTAAGAATAAATTAACAAGATTATAAGATTTAAACAATGAGCTAAACTTAATACTAATGGAAGAAGTTTCAAGGAGATTGATGTTAAAGTCTCCACATATTATAACAGACTTGTTCTGTTTACTAAGTTTGAGTAAAACTTCTTCCACAATCCTTTCAAAATAGTCATAAGTAGCAAATGGGGGTCTGTAAACACTTTCAACAATGGGGTGCTCAAGCTCGACACAAGCCATTTTTACAGTTCACTCAACAGAGAGGCTCCTTACGTTCTTTATATAATAATGACTTATCTGCTAATATTAAGGAGCCACCACGTAAACTTTTTTCTCTATTGAAGGAACTGACCACCTAGTGATTTCTGAAATTAAACATGAAATTATAATCTTTTACCCAATGTTCAGTAATACAAAAGATGTGTATATTGTATTTAAAAACAATTCAACTTCCAATTATTTGCCCATCATGCCTTGTATATTTTGATGCACCAGGTGTAAACAATTTTTATTGCTTATTTGTTGCCGTGTAGTGGCGGTTAAGAATATCCACTACCCCATATCTTCCCGTGGGTGTCGTAAAAGGCGACAAAGGGATACAGGCAGGAGATGGGCAGCAGCATATTCCTGGTAACGGCTAAAATACAATAAAAACTGCGGTTGCCAACCCGCTTGCCAAGCGTGG